ATTTTTCATGAATAAGATATAGGTGCCCATAACGTGAGTAATCGTCTATGAATGATATAAAATATTGTTGACCATTCCAGGATTCCGTAGGGAATGGCCCACAAATATCCGTATGTATCAATTCTAAGACATCCGAAGATCTGTTGGCACCTAATCTTTTCACTTTGGTCTGTTTTCCCTTGATACATTCAACACATACGTCGAAGTCCGAAAAATCAAGGGAATCCAAAATGCCATCAGACACAAGACGCTCAATTCTACCTTTTGAGATATGACCTAAGCGCTTATGCCATAATGTCGCCGAATTTTCCTTATTTAATTTACGCTTAGTACCACGTGATTCCACATGCAAGGATTCATTGTAAGAAGCAATTGTATCAAGCAAATATAGGTTGTCATAAATACTCAAGTAACCGGTTCCCACAACATTTGAATTAAAAGATAAACTGAATTGACTGTTTCCAAATGAACAAGAATAACCTGATTTGTCCAATACAGAAACAGAAACCAAATTCCGTCTAAAAGACGGTACTACAAAAGTATCTTTTAAATCCAAATAATAACCAGTTCCTAACAACAACCTAAAGTGCCCAATTGCTTCCACATCTACCGATTGTCCGTCGCCCACAAAGATGTGTCTTTCAACATCACTTGGCTTTCGGTAGCTCAGGCAACCCTGCATAGAAACACTTATGTGAGTAGTAGCACCAGAGTCTAACCACCAAGTGTTTCTAGGTACTGAAGCTAAATTAACCTCAGAACAGACCAAAGCAAGGAACGTACCCTTATTATCACGCCAGGCGTGATATTTTGTACAGTCCTTCTTTACATGTCCAGGCTTCTTACAGAAGAAACAACCCTGATTATCCTTATGTTGTTTCTTCTCAACTGGACCCTTAGCAGCTTCCTTATCATTCTTCCTTTTCTTGCCCTTATCCTTAGAGGCATAGGCCAAATGAGCACTTTCTGTCTTATCTTGCTTCAACCTGTCTTCTTCTTACACACAGTATGAAATGAGCTCATTTAGTGTCTTCTTCTTGCACACAGTATGAAATGAGCTCATTTAGAGTCCATTTCTCCTTTTGACAGTTATAACTGACCTTAAATTGGTTAAACTGTGCAGGAAGAGACAACAAAACCAGATGCACTAATAACTCGTCACAAAGATCGAGTTTAAGTGCCTTAAGCTTTGAAGCAATATGAGACATTTCCATAATGTACTCCCTGATATTTCCTTTGCCCTTATACTTCATCGAAATCAAGCGAGCTAAAAGCGTGCTTGTTTCTACCTTATCGTTTTTCGCAAAACGCTTCTCAATTTCGGCAAGGAAATCTTTAGCCTTAGTAATCCCTTCGGATTCTATGCCCCTGAAGGCTTCCGGAACGCCGCGCTTAATGATCATAAGACTCATGCGATTTGAACGCTCCCACTTCTCATGCTCCTTCTTTGCATCAGGAGTGCTATCCGCATTGAGAGGTTGGGGTTGTTCAGTTCTTAATGCATAGTCAAGATCCATGCAGCCAAGAACAATTAATATGTTCTCTTTCCAAACCTTGAAGTTTGTCCCATTTAGCATGGGAATTGAGTTGATGTTAGCAGAAATTGTTGCAGCAGATGCATAAAACAAAAGAATGCTCACATCAATAACCATAATTAATAAAATTCAAATAATGACAATCCCCATCCAAGATACCGGCATAACATTAATATCAAGTCTTTGGACAGTAATATTAACTTGTAAGTGATACCTTGTTGCAATGATCAAACATTGACAATAACTCATGTCAAATAATGAAACTATCTTTGGATCGATTCATTATTCACATGTAAACCTTATAATTGTCACATGCTTATCATCGCAGATGTGTATACAGTCTAAATAAATATTAACCTTCCTTTGGGCCGATTAAATATTTACACGAAAGCATACACACAAACATATCATATTCCTCATGAACAATCTACACAAGAGAAGTTACTTTGGCAACTTCTTGTTTTAATTAATCAATTGGAGTGAGAGTCAACCTTAATACCTTAGTGTCATAATATTTGAATTAAATAATTGATTAAAAAACCGAATTAGATTTAAATTAAAAAAAAAATTAATTTAAATCAACTGAATTTCCAAAACTTAATTGGGGTCTCACAGCTTAATTAGGGCCCATAACTTAATTGAATAAATTAAGTATACCAAAGTGGACCCATGAAAAGCCGAGGCTTAACCATAATGAACACGAAGTTCCCTTAACTTCGAACGCGAGTTTCGACTGTATTGAGTACGAGACTCACTTAAGCACGAACGCGAGGTTCGTCTGAAAATGAACGAACGCGAGGTTCGTTTGATAAAAGAACGCGAGGTTCAACTTGGGAACGAACGCGAGGTTCGTTTAAAAAATGAACACGAGATTCGTCTGAAGTTCGAACGCGAGGTTCGTCTGAAGTACGAACGCGAGGTTCGTTAAAAATTGAGCTTGACGCTCACCTGAGTTGAACGCGAGGTTCACCTTAGAACGAACGCGAGGTTCGTTAAAATTGAGCTTGACGCTCACCTGAGTTGAACGCGAGGTTCACCTTAGAACGAACGCGAGGTTCGTTGAGCGCGAAGCTCGGTTAAAATTGAACGAACGCGAGGTTCGTTTGAGGTAACCACCTCCTTAATTTTCGCCATGAACCCTTAGGGTTTCAAATTGAAACCGCCGCCGACAAACCCAAAAATCTTTGATTTTTATTTTCAAAACAGATCCAGAATTGGAAAAAATTGAAGAAAAAATCAAAGAAAAATCCAAAAAATTCCCAAAAGTCACTGTTCACCGGATTTTTTAGTTACTGTTCATCCGAAAAAACCTGTACTGTTCATCCGAAAAAAATTTCGCCACTGTTCATCCGAACATTACTGTTCATCCGAGAACAAAATTGAATCTTTAACCAGAGATTTAAGATCAAACCGAACATTACTGTTCATCCGAGAACAAAATTGAATCTTTAACCAGAGATTTAAGATCAAAAACCCAATAAAACTTAAATCCCTAAGAATTAATCAAGGTGGCTCTGATACCACTTGTTAGATCTACATCATAAACTTGAGATCTAAAACCATATAGCCATGATTAATTCAAAGAGATTAACAAATAATCAAAAGAGCGGAAGCTTATACCTGAATCCATGGATGAAATCTTGATTTGGGTTTTTGATGATCTTCTAACCTTAGGGTTTCTCTAAAACCGAATTTCTCTAGCTAGATGGGGGTGTAGAGAATTAGAGAATGTAACCCTAGGTTAGGGACCATAACCCCTTATTTATAGATGTTGTACTTTTGTAATTTAGCCCCTCAATAAATTACAATTACAACCTGGTATCTGCACATATAACCCCATGACTTATTTAAATACCAAATTAACCCAACTTAATTGATCACTTTAGTGGGTTATCCTGAAAGATAGCAATACACATTGATTAATCATATGTGCCCACAAATAGATTTATTAGATTAAATCCAACACATGATTCCTCTTTTGGACAGGCCTCCATTTCGTCCCGTCTTTCTTCCTAAAGCAGACACAGGAGTCATGACCAATGGTATTTACAATTAGTGCACCACTTAGCTTTGAAATCATAAGTGATCTTCTGAATATATTCTCTGTCATTAGGACATTTTATCACAACAGAATTTGGGAGAGGAGCTGGCATATCCATTTCAGTTAGTACTCTTGCACACGATAATCTTTATTTTGTAGGAGTTAGATGATCAGTAGTAATTGGTCTAGTAACCAGACTTGCAACTTAATTTGCTAATACCAGCAGCATGCTAAAGATTCAATCCAAAATTTGGTAACTGAATCCACGTAAGGTAGTAGTAATCCTGAACTTCTCAATATCATCAGAATTCCTCCTAACTCTCAGTACCAATGGCCTAGCTCCAAAGGAACCATGGTCCTCCGTCAAGCACAAAATCGCTATCCTTCAAATTACTGAAGCTTAATAAAAATATACCAGGTGTAATTAAGAAAGTTTGGGGTGCTAGCTTCCACGGTTTCTCAACATATGATTCCATGGCTTTACACCTAACGGTAAGCCCAATAACATGCCCAATGATAGCATAGTTCCATTGAGAATCACCCACAACCCATTATCAGAATTAGGTGGGGGAAAATCAACATTTAAATGCTTTCCCGTTTTCCTATTATCAGAGAACAAATTAGCCCATTTCTTCTTTCAATTCATCTTGAGCAGATGCATCGACGACTCTATTTTCCCCAATCTTATCATTATTGATCAATTCGGGATCACTAACATGAACATGAGCACTAGTATCATGAATCAATTCTTTTACATTAGTTAGCCTAAGAGCTTGATGGAGCAAAAGTCTAAGAGTTTTGAACACAACCCTTAATTAGATGGAATTTGGTTATTAGGAGGAGTAATACATCCACTAACCATCAAATTCCAGCAAGAGGAATCACCATCCTCCTTCCCAAATTCCATCGGAGAAGAAGATAGAGCTTGTAACTCAGCTCGAGTCACCAATCGGATCTCTTTCAGGCTAGAGTTGCTCTTCTTTTTCACCATACACTCAGCGGTGGGTGTAGCTTAGCAAGGATTTGATCGCCTGCTAACATGCACCATCTAGACAGCCCCAGATATCTAGCCTTAATTAAATCCAATATTAACTTCTCATGGATTACATGTTGTCTAAATCTGATCAAAAATATATTGACCATGTAAAAGGAACATTACTTTAAAAAAAATTGTTTGTATGGAATATTACTATAATTATACGATGCCATCATATATTTTATGCACCAAAATATATCTCCAAAAGCATTAGCTTACGTTCAATACCCTTGAACCTTATTTATGAATTTAGAGTTACAACAAAAAACTAATACATGCAACATGTTGATCAGTATGATTGTTAAAGAAATATGACTTCTCTTAAAAAAACATTGTGGCCTTTTTAATTAATGCATACCATGGACTGCATTTATTGCAAACTCTGCTAGATCCTTTATTTAAACTATCACATCCTCTTTGTATGTGCTTCAGATATAAATTACAAATACATATGAAATCTACAATTAGATCATGAATTGGAAAATAATAACACAAAAACTGAAACGAAGTTCATCTATATCCTTATAAATATGGACAGATGCTCGTTACTATGCAAGTGCTAGCTCCATGGCTGTCAAAAAGATCTTATCAGTCATCACGTTCTCACTTAAGAGAGGTTTGTAAATTGTCTCTATTTATACACCTTTAAGTAGATGAGTGATATTAGAAAGAATATCAATGTGAAGGAGGAAGATGTGCTTGTTGGAATTGAGTTTGTGTCAGTGTATGGAGGAGATGGTCCAAAGACTGTCGATCCTCCTCCGATTGGGTTCGTCGTATTGAGCGTAGATGAACTTGTACTGCAAATAAACCATAAGGATATATTTAATTTTAACTAGTTTATGAATATTATGATTTTTTTAAAACGTCAAAGTATTAGTATCTATACTAATATAAACATAGTGAGAGTTGTGAAAAGTTTGTAGGAATGGTGGACATATACCTTTCGGTACCATTTGGCAAAAGGTTAAGTGAGGGGTTAAGGAGACTTAACCCCTTCTTAACTCGCCAAACATAAAAAATCTATACAAGGGTTAAAGTGAATTAACCCTCCATAATTTACCAAACATAAAAAATATAGAAAGGTTAAGCTAACCCCTCTAGAGGGATTAAAATAAGTTAACCTCTCAAATGAGGGGTTTACTAATACTCCTATTTAGAAAGATTAAGAGTTAATCGTTCTAATTATAAAGAAAATAGTCAAAATCATTGTTATTCCCAAACACTAAAACTGATCACAAGCGCTAAAATAAAACTTATTTAACGGGTTAATAATTTAGTCTTTCAGATTATCGAATGGGCTAAGTACATTAATCATTCTCTTTAACCCATTTTACTTAACTCTTTGCCAAACGGGACCTTCAATTATAACTGGAAGGGTAATTTTGTAATATTCCATGGAAATCTTTTTCCCTTTTATTTTTGTTTGTTTTTTATTTCTAGAACTCGCTAAATTATGAACAAGAAATGAATTTGAACTCACATAATTAGATGTTCATACTTCTCCTATTTCTAAATCATTCTAAATCATGAATGAGAATAAGATTTGAACTCACATAATTAAATACTAGCGCATTGGCACATGCGCTGCATGTGCAATATTAAGTTATGTTATTAGTCTTATATTTCACATATCAGATTGATAATGATTTAATTTATGCAATTTAATTATGGAGCTTTACATAGAAAATATATCTTAAACTATTATTTAGCAATTAAATCTATAGTTAACACCATTTTGTTGAGTAGTTTTCTAATTGAGAATAATATAATTAAAGCAAGTGACTAAAAAATGGATTTGGGGGATATTACAATTTAATTATGTGTGTATTATCATTTCATGATTTAGAATGTTCTAGAAATAAGAAAGGAAAAAAGAAAATAAAATAAAAGAAAGAAAATAAATGTTTCCCTTGAAAACTTACAATCTTAATTATATGAATTCAAATTTTATTCTCATGTCATGATTTAGAGTCTTCTAAGAGAACAATGAAAAGAAATGAAGGGAAAAATATCTCTCTCATAAAATTACCATTTTACCCTCCAAATTATAACAGAAAGGAGGAAAATGTCCACTAGTCATCCAATTTTAATACCCCCACTATGTTTATTGTACGGTAGTATAGATAGATATTCATCATATTGCATGTTATAAAAGACTAAAATATAAAATAATAATAAGAGGAAAATATAAAATAATAAGTTTATTTTCCAAAAAGATTATTAAGTACATGCCAATGAAATAATATAACTACTAAAAATATATATAACTACTAAAAAATTTACCACAGATCACTATAAAGCATATATCTTTTTATTTTAAATAGTAGAAATTTTTAACAACTCCATATAGTTTTTTACATTACGGGGGAAATGGTATTCTCTATAATGATTTTAGTTGATGTTTAGTAAATGGAAAGATACATTCTCATGGTCGAATAATACATTTTTATATTTTTAGAAAACTATATCTTAGATACTTTGGAGTATTTACGATCTCGGTCTGGGTTATCAAAACAAAATAACATAAAATACTTTGGAGTATTTTTTTAATAGATTTAAACTTCAGGATATAAAAGTTAGAAAACTGATGAAACTATAGGTACAATTAGCTCTTTTAATATAAAATTTAGGATAAATAAGTTTAATGTCTATGGCACGTGCATATGCACATGCAGTAATACTAGTTTACGGAGGAAGGCATACCTTAAAGAAGGATATTGACACGTTGAACTACCTGAAAAAAAATGCCCAATAGATCAGGTTCAGTAGTAAATTGGTGCACCTATCACGGCTGTAATCAGAGTACATACTTACGGTGATTACCTTAATACACCAATTTCTGTGAAAACATCAAATAATGGTTATACCGCGTGAAATTTCAGGAAACAATTCAAGCATTTCATGTCCTAATTTGCACTAGTCAAAGCGTAGACAGTATTTAGTGCCCAACTACTGCATAATTTATTTGGAAATCAGTTTTTTATCATGTAGTTTATCCAACTGTAATTGCAGAGACTTTGTTATGGTTGTCCTTGAGCTTTAAGGTACTCTTATGTACATGGAGAATTTATTATGTTACCAATTCCTTAATATCTTTCCACTGAGCTGAAACTAATCTTCTCTTAGGTTGATGTATTGCAGAACATCCCCACATTTATACATATTTATCAAGGTAAGAAAAAAAAATAGCAGCAATAAGGTTTAGTTGTTTCTGATGCTTGGGGTAAATAATCTACCTTTCTTATTTCACCAGGTGCAGTATTGATCTATCAGAGTTTCACTCAGGGTAAAAGAGCCAGAAAAAGTTGACCGAGGCAGGTCTATCTGGGACAATGAAACTAAAGGAGTAGTTAAGTTCGATCAAAACAACATACTACAAGAGTCTATGTGCAATTAAGATTTTAGATATAAGAAAGGGCAATTATCCCAAATTTGAGCAAGAACATGGAAGAAAAACCTTACTTGGATCAGTGTTGGTGATAATTGCAGTCCCCCCAAAATCACAACTAGTCTGAGAAGGGTTCTTCTGATAGTAACTATTGAATGCATATGAGGCATGATCTCGGACTGTATCAGGGTTAAAACAGCTCCCTCCTTGCTGTATCTCTGAACAGTCAGCGCCGCCATATCCACAGGCATAATCCAGACCAACCTGCAGCGCAGTCTCCGATGCACTCTGGCTAGCAGCACACCAGCTCTGGCCTGAATTCCCCGTTGCTGGGTAGGGGTTAGGGTTCAGGTCTGTTGGTGGAGTTATAGTTAGAGTTGGATTTGTGGGAGTTGTCAGGGGGTTATATGCAGGAGTTGTGGTGGTGATTGGAGTTATACATCCGCTGAGATGTCGTTAGGTGGAATGTTGATGAGAATTCCATGACTCTGTCTGTAATCTTGTAATTGCGAATCTTGCTGTATGATTTTGATGTCTGAATGTGAGTTCTACCTTTTGATGCTATAGCAAATGTTTCTGCCGAAAATCGTCGAAAGTGCAACATTAGATACCGAAGAGAATGTAGAAGGAGATGATAACGAATTTTATGCTTAAGAGCTAATCTGGATAGAACTGACATATTATCTAATCTGAAAGAAAGAATGAAAGTTTGAAAAAGAAAATTATGATAGAAAATTAAATTGATTAGTGTTCATCCTCTCTGCTATCAGGATGGCAGAAACTACTTTCTCGATAATAACAGTACAATAATGAAGAATCTGGAACGAGAGAGCATGTAAGATGAATTATATGTTTTTAGAACTATGATGAGAGTCTTAAATTGATTGATTTACATGTCAAAATATAAAAATATAACCATCAACTCTCGTCACAACTTCAAATTTTTGGTGTAATGGTTAAAGACTTTTAGATGATATCAGAGCAACCTAGATTCAAATCCCACATGCCAAAATTTAAAATGGATTTTCTAAAAATTGACACCTCTGCGTGAGCCTAGGTTTTCAGCTCGTAAAAAAGATGCCCGACCGGCGGGACAGTATAAAAATATAACCACAACTTTAGAGTTTTAGTCTAATTGTTAAGACTAGGAAAAAAAATCCCAGAATCCTATCCGCTACATTGATGATAATGGAGCTGTTTTTTCTCTTAACATACGGTCCAATAATGTGCAGATAGTTGTGATTCATGCTAATACAGGTTACTTCATACATTTCATAAGTCTTTTTTTAACCATATTTCATTCAAACCAAGTCATGATCATGCGTTAAACAGAATATATTAATATAGAAAGTGGTCTACTCTTTACTGTATAACCGCAATCTAGATGATCTAAATCCTTCTTCTATGATCTAAAGAAAGAATTTCCAATTTCAGAAGGATTTTTGGCATAAGAACTGTATCATAATTCTTCTGTATATGTTATCTCAGAATAGAACAGGGGTTGTGATGAACTGTAGACTTGTTACAGTTACTGTGCATGGCATTGAGATATGATCTAATCCGAAAGGAGCAGAGGTTTAACAAGAAATGTGTTCATCCAGAATCTAAAGAAGCAACTTACATTCCTCTCCACTAGAGTTGGCAATGAAGTACACACTTCCTCCATAAACATCCGTACGCAAGGGAGAATCTGAGTGGTGCTGTGGAGTGCAGTTGCACCTCTAAGAACTTCATAATTGCATCCATAATAACCGCAGGTCGAATGAATATGTAGACGGTTATGGTTTATAAGTAATACGTAAGCTATCATGGTATCTTTCAGAAATTGCATTTATTCATATTCTTCACTTATGAAAGGCCATAACCATACAACACTAAATGATAGAAATTATATTTAAGACAGTAGTCTCTATCCGCAATCATGAAGATCCAAATCTTTCATCCATAATTTAAAGAAAGGAATTCTGTTTCTAGGGAGATTTTCCACATAACTCTATCATATCGATCTAATTCTTCTCACTTCCCCTTCAATCAATTACAAATATGCAAACCGTAAGGAAACTGGCATATGTGTTCAGTTTTTCCTCCTTTTTTCCATCCGAAACAGAAGATAACTTTTCATGCTAGCTAGCCATCACATTGCGCAAATTATATAACAACATAGCATCCGAACTAAAGATAGGCAAAAAAAAAAAAAAGCACTCACCAGAGGAGAGAAAACCCAGATGCAGGAAGAAGAAGAAGAAGAAGACTTGAATGATCTTCATAACCATTTGCAAAGAATAAAATATCTAATCTTCTCAGTTCTTTGTTTCTTTGTCTCAAAGTCCACAGTGAACCTAAGTGATCAGAGAAAAGGAGTGACTTTCAATTGCTACCTTATTTTATACATGATTATAGAATCGGAGGGGCTTCTTTTCTTTTCGTTCTTTTTTTTATTTCTTGGATGAGAGAGAGAGAGAGAGAGAGAGAGTATGGAGGAAACTTGGAGATGGAGAACGGGGTTTTGGATGTGCAAGCAAAGAGATTAATTAATTAGTGGTGAAATTAAGATGAAGAAGGAAACAAGGAGGATGGTTTGGAGTTGAAGGTGTCTCTATGTTCTGTTAGCTGGTAATTGCAGGCGTAAATGGTGTCTGGAAACCCGATAACCCGATCCGACAGCTACGATTATTTATTAGGTTTTGAATATCAAAATTGAATTCAAACACATTAATCGGGTGTGACTTTTCTCGTCTGGCTCGATAACAATCTCAGCATAATTTTACGTGAGAAGGCATTCTTAATTATTTTAGCTAGCAATTATGTAGATATGGAAAAGATGATAATTTAAGTATAGATTTAACCATTTTCGTATAATAAAATGGAATTACTTAAACATTTTCGTATCTTAAACATTTTCGTATAATAAAGTGGAATTACTTAAATTATTTTTGCTTGATAACTTTCATAAGTATGTTTAAGATCCAAATGATTGGAATATGACACTCCTCGAGTCATAAACCGGATCATAAATCCAACATTAGTTCAAATGACACTCTATTAAACTAAAATTAGGTACATTACATAAAACACAAAATGACAATATGAGGGTTTTAATCTAACGACCTTTCTATAATAAATTTAAGTTACTTCTCGGATTTTTTTAACCAAACGAATAACTTGCATAGTTTTAAGATCGGAATGGGATCTGAGTCGGATAAGAAAGAGAAGGTCAGACGCAAACCAAAGTCTGAATTCAATTTTCTAGTCGGGTTTGGGATGTATATGAATCCAATTAGAATCCGACCTGTTTACAATCATAGGCTGGCCTAATGATGCTTGTAATTATGACAGTCAGAGCCAATGTGGTGTCTTTTTGGTGCTAGGGGAACCCCTCCCTCTCTCTTTCATTCTCCCTCACTTTTTCATTTTTGGGGCTGGCTTTCCCTCTTTTTTTTTCTTTTTTTTTTCCCGCTTGCTCTCTTTATAGACTGAATGTGCAGATTGGTGACTGCGCGACCGCAAGATTTGAGGTGAATTTTGGGGTTCTCTTTAATCATTACCTTTATTATATTCTCCCTTAGTGCAAACTAAAATAGGCTTTCTTTAGGAGATTTAATTAGTTGTTCTCTGCAGACCTAGGGAGCTAGGTTTCAAAGTTGAGTGCTCCTGAGGCTTTTATCAAGTGTAGAGAATAATGGCAGTTTAAGCGACCGATTAGGGGTGCAAACGGGTCAAGCACAGTTCAAACATGACACTTATTAATACATGTATCTTCTTTCTAAAACGGATATGCATACGGATAAAGTTTTCATTTGGCAAGAAAAAGTTACATCAATATCCACACAAAAAAATGTGGTTCGGATATTAGAGAAATAATATTGATTCAATTGCGGATATGAATCAGATACTTACCAAATGGGTATGCACAGGATATAAGAGAAAATATGTGTGAATTCATTGCTTTTTTTTTTGCACCAATGAAATAAAACATGACTTAATCTTAATATATTCAAGAATATCCATTTTTAAACATTACGTAAAATATCTAATACAACCAAGATACTTCAATCCTCAAATGGTCATAAGTCATAATCCACGTGCATTATTCAAAGATCAAAGTTTTCCTTATCACCATTAATAAAATAATCAGAACATAGTGCAATATAAATTTTACTATAAATAAGCTCAAATTTCTCAACGGATTATTTCAATAAAGCACAATCCGCATAACCCAAAAACAAAAATCACATTCAGAACACAATTGTTATTAAGAAAATCAAAATGTTAGCAATATTTGTATCCGTATTCATATCCGAATACAAATCTACATCGGAGTCAAAATCCATATCTCAAGCCATATTCGAATCCGTAACCAAATTCATATTTAAATCCAAACTCAAACCTATATACAAATTCATATCGGTATCAGTGAAAGATCCATATTTTCATGTATGTATCCCTAATTTGAAGCGATGTTCATGTTCGTATCCGACCAAATTCAAATATTGATTACAATATCTGCATCTATTTTAGATAGGCTTGCGAATCGGATTGGATATATCCAAACCGTTTTGCATCCCTAATTAGTATTCAATTTTATTAGAATTTTGATTATTTGTTATGATATTAATGTCTGTTAATTAACATAATCTTTCTACTCTATTCTGTCTTGGAATAGACACTATAATATAATAAACATAAAGCACGGCATTAACCAAATAGAAAATCCAAATCCATTATTTATCTTACACATTCTTGCATTTCAGAAATGAGAGATTAATGAGTATCATTGACATATGAGTACTGCTACGGGGACCCAAAATATGGGACCAAGGGAGGGGACAAGTGAGGTGTCCCCTCCCTATTGCATAATGAGTTGGTCATGCCAATTCATGCCAACTCATTATGCAATAGGGAGGAGACACCTCACCTGTCCCCTCCCTTGGTCCCATATTTTGGGTCCTTAAGTCATTTTCCTTGACATATTAGGGAGTTTTCTCATATGTCATGATGTGGCTTAATCTTAGCCACTAATCCGAGAGAGTCAAGTAATAAATGAAAAGTGGTCCTTTTACAAAAAAAAACCCTCTCTTTGAGAAACTTGCTAACATTCATTGTCATTGGGACTAACAATGTTTTGGGAAATCTCTTTTCGTATTATAGATCAACATATCACACTTGTAAAATAAGCTTTCTTTCATTGTAGACAAGAAATTTCCGTTAACGTAGAAAGGATGCAAAATTGTATGACTCAAATAAGAATTGACTTTTCATGTTCAATAAGGACTTTGACAGTTTTTTCACTTTCTAACTGATATTTTGGTCAAGGAGTCGCACCATGGATTCTTTGTTTAGCATACTCATTCTTATTATGTTTGTAATTGTGAAGTCTGATGGGTTCAGAAAAATGTTGGTCGTCTGCAAAAATTGGTGCTTAGTACACTGGTTTTAAAAGGTGAGAGTGGATTTTG